TAAAGACCAAGGTTTAACCTGAGAAACTTTTTTTTTTGGCAAGACAATAAAGAGGTTAAAGAGGCTATGTGGATCTGTCACTGCTTTAGCTTACCATTTTCAATTTAGCACCAAAGTGCTCAGGAAGACAGGCTCAGATCAGGACGACTTCTTAAAAGGGATTCACAGGCAATCTTACTGGCAAAATGATTTTCCAAAGCTGAGCCACTTGCCCCACCCTACAGGGAGGGGAGTAGAGTCTTAAGGCCCAGCATTGGCATTGAGGCATCTTGCTTTTTTCCCTCAGAATTCCACAAAGGCTTAAGAGTGATCTAAATGCCTGGCTGGAAGCTCAAGTCTAGGAGAGCTAATTTACTGCACTGTTGAGATATTCTCTGCAAGATAGTCACAGATAATAAGCAATTTAGTAGATAATTAATCCAGACAAGAATTAATGTTCTCTGAATCAGTGATTAATATAATCTTCACATCTGGCCTGGCTGGGAGGCTTGGGGGCAGGAAAGGGAGGGTGGAAGAATGGGTAGCACATCAAAGTGGTGATGAACAAAATGACAATGCTGCTGTTTGTGTATCCTTTAAAGCCTCTATCCAGGGTTTTAAATGGCGCTTTTTTTGTCTGCTTCCTGATAGGAAGTCAAATAAGTTTTAGTAGTAAGAACTGGGGATAAAAATGAAAGGAAACCTAGAGTTATTAAACAACTGACTGCTGGAGGAACAGAAGCAATGACTTCTTTCTACCTTCTAGGTAGTAATCTTACTTTTTTGGCTAAAAGCACTTTCTTCAGCATTCTGAGTTAACATGGGTTCCCTATAAGCTCCCCTCCCCAGGTGGACAGTCTTATTTTCTAAGACAAGCTCAAACTCACCAAATTATCACCGTAAACAAAGCTTCAGGGAAGAGACATAACTCTTACTTCAAAAGCTTCAGGTCAGAGACAGCCAAAATCACATGACTGCTAGCCTCAGCTCAAGTAGTGTGCCCAAATCATCACAAAATGGGATTCTCTTCCTATTAATTTTTTTTTTTTTTTTGAGACAGAGTCTTGCTCTGTTGCCTAGGCTGGAGTGCAGTGGCGGGATCCCGGCTCACTGCAACATCTGCCTCCCAAGTTCAAGCGATTCTCCTGCCTCAGCCTCCCGAGTAGCTGGGACTATAGGAGTGTGTCACCACGCCTGGCTAATTTTGCTATTTTTAGTAGAGACGGGGTTTCACCATACTGGTCAGGCTGGTCTTGAACTCCTGACCTTGTGATCCACCCGCCTTGGCCTCCCAAAGTGCTGGGATTACAGGCGTGAACCACTGTGCCCGGTCCTCCATTTATTAATTTATAAGGGGACTAGGAGGACAAACTATTTGATTAATTTGAAGGTGAGAGGTATCATTTTCTCAGATACTCCAACTAGGCTTCTCACATCCCTCAAAGGTTATCAGCTAAAGACAAGAGTTTCTGAGGCTAATGCAAAAACATGGTCAGATGTGAAACCACCCTTTTAGAGGCAGGGTTTGTGAAAGGCTGCTGGCCTCCAAAGGACAGCATGCCTAAACTCTCTGGGCTCCCAGGACCGGTGGTGATCTCAAGTCAACCTGATGCACAGATAACAGTATCTTTTAGGGATTGCAGCCAATGCTCCCCAATTCACTTTTTTTTGTTTTAATACCTTAAAATATCAAGTGTTTCATTTTTAGGTGATATTCCAAGTGACACAGAAACACAGCTCTCCTGGATGGTGAAGTCTCCGCTGCAAAACTCACCAAACAGCACAGAGGATGACTCTGGGGTCCTCTCCCACTTGCTCCCAGTTAGGTGGGTGCCCTGATGAAGGCAAGGCTGAGTCACTAACATGCACAGCTCCACATCCTGGAAGCCTCTGGAGCCTTGAGGAGACAGACTCTATCCAACAGGACTCCGAGTAAATGCCTGCCACCTCAACTGGGCAGTCTGACCTCTTCCACCGTCTTTAAGAAACAGAAGGGCCATCTGCATTATTTAATCACCGTTCAATAATGTCCTCCCTCCCCATAGCTGCTTGAGTTAACTGTCTCACAAGTGTCCTATGTTTTGTAAAGATGAGGGTTATTTTCTGAAATGCAGATGAGACTAGGATAAAGCTGTATTATCAATTACAGCCAACTCTCATTTCTCTTAAAGCAAAAATTCATCCCACTGTGATTTCTCCAGGTATTTCCTTTAATTCTAAATCCACCCTTGATATTAGAGAATATTAAAATCACATAGTTGTGGCAAAAATCACAATGTGGCTATTAAATCCTTTTTGTGAACTAAAAAATGTGCATGTGGCTTAGGCTCAGCTGTTTTTTTTTTTTTTTTTTTTTTTTAAAGATGAGGATGGGGACTCCAACAAAGGCATTAAGAAAGTACTAGATGAAATGAGAAATAGGTGAAGGATAACGTGAAACGTACACTCAGGTCTAACAAGTACCTATTACTTCTCTGGTTAAGAAGGTTTAGCAGGAGCCCCCAATGAGCACTGTATGTAGAGAAAAGGGAAGGAGCAGGGGGAGGAACGGATTGGCACAGAATTTTTTTCTTCTTTTAAAAACCACAGAGGGTGACTTTTTTCTTCTAAGCAAGCAAGCCTAAGAGACAATACATGGGCTGGCTCCTAATATCAAAACAAAATATTTCTTTGCCACAAAGGAACTTGACTATGTAGCAACACATTTACAAAACTACTGCAAAACACTCCCAGAGGGCAGTGACCTACTCTGTTCCCCAGAGGCTGCAAGAAGCAAGGCCTCAAGTGCCTCACGTTCCATGGGGCTGTGCAGCGCAATGCAGAAGGCGGAAATCCTGCTGTGACACCACCCTCGAGACCTTCTGCAGCCTGAGAGGCAGTGATACTCCCACACCCTTTGATCCTTCCAGATGGCTCAGCCTAGACCTAGCAGTGAGAGAGCCCTCTCCATGCAGGGCGGATGGAGTGGTGGACACTTGCAAAAACAAAACAGTCAATTCACTAACTGTTCCATCCTGTTATATGTGCAATGAGGAAAATTAAGATTCCTGTTTCACGGGCTGCACTGTTTCTGGAAGGCTACAGAAAATCTAACATGGTTGACACCTCCTGGTAGCCCTTCTGTACACACACACACACGTACACACACACACACACACACACAGAAGAGAGGAGAAAATCCTGGTCCAAAAGACCACATGACCTTACTAGTGTTTCCCCAATGATTGTAATTTATAAACTAAAAATTTTTAAAAATCCACTGCTATCTTTTTCTGTCCTGAGTTTGGTAGACTTTAATGGATGCTCTAGCAATAACCAGAATCTAGGACATGCAAATTCACTGTGAGCAAGAGGCTAGGGATCTGCCCTAAACATAGGAATCTGTTTCTACCAAGTCTGAATGAGGTCAGCACTGGTAGAATTAATGACAAATCAATGTCAATGAAATATTCTACAAACAGGGTAGTTTTTGTACTTTCTTTTGATTCTTTTCTTTGGGGAGATAAAGGTATTGCAACCATGGGTCTAACTAATGTATCACTAAAGGACTGTGATGATATTCTCAGTAAAGACGGCCATGGTGTTTACAGTGCCAGGGAGGGAAAATCCCAGATCATCAGAATCCCAGTGCAACAGAAAACAGCACCAGTTTCAACAATTCTGATGTTGGACAAAGCCTCTTTTTGTCAGTTAAGAAAGCATAAGCACAGTGTCTCAGTTAATTGCATTAACAGGAATCCATTCATGTCACTGAAAAATACTTGTTGGCACAGTTCACTTTCCTGACCCAAAGACACCAACAACAATCAAAACTGCCCTTTCAGGGTAGTATATTATTACACTAGCCCAGTCAAAACACACTCAGACCATTAACAAATGTATACATTACTGTTAGCACTGCAGGTCTGTTTTATTTTCTAATTTATTTATTGAGACAGAGTCTCGATCTGTCACCTAGGCTGGAGTGCAGTGGCGTGATCTTGACTCACTGCAACCTCCGCCTCCCAGGAAGGTTTAAGTGATTCTCATGCCTCAGCCTCCCAAGTAGCTGGGATTACAGGCGTGCACCATCACGTCCAGCTAAGTTTTGTATTTGAGTACAGACAGGGTTTTGCCATGTTGGCCAGGCTGGTCTCAAACTCCTGTCCTCAAGTGACCCACCTGCCTTGGCCTCCCAAAGTGCTGGGATTACAGGTGTGAACCACTATGCCCGGCCCTGCAGTTCCTTTTTTTAAAGAGTATTGACTGTTTTCCTGCAAAGGACTTTCACATCCATACCATAAAGGTAGTATTTATCTGGAAGAATGTGTTTCTTGAATTCCATTTAGCACTTGGTTAAATCTACTTTATTTTGCTCTTTATTTGAACAGAACTTTAGAATGCTCTAGGTCAGGATAAGAAACAGTGTGTTCGTTTTTAAGAAGGATATGTGAATAGGAAGTTGGCATTCAGACTCAAGTTCCACAGTGGTGTTCTTCTCCAATGGGACCTCTCCTTGGGGATATAATTCCTTTCCCAGAGGTATCATGGTATCCCAAGAATACAACTGCTCTTTGGCTCTGTGTTTCAAGATTGGGAGAGAGGATGTAAACTAAGAGTACACAGCAATTTTTTTTTTTCTTTTTTGAGATGGAGTTTCACTCTTGTTGCCCAGGCAGGACGACAGTGGTGCAATCTCGGCTCACTGCAACCTCTGCCTCCCGGGTTCAAGCGATTATCTCGCCTCAGTCTCACAAGTAGCTAGGATTGTAGGCGCCCACCACGCCCAGTTAATTTTTGTATTTTTAGTAGAGACAGCGGTTTCACCATGTTGGCCAAGCTGGTCTCAAGCCTCTGACCTCAGATGATCCGCCTGCCTTGGCCTCCCAAAGTGCTGGGATTACAGGTGTGAGCCACCATGCCTGGTGAGTAGACAACAAAATTTAAAGTTCACCAACTGATGTTCCCAAAAGTGCTGAACACTAAATGACACAGGCCTATGAGGTACATACATTTCTTTTAGTAGGAGGGAAAAGTAAAAGTTTTTCAAAGTTTGAGTGCTTTATTAGAATTTTTAAATAAGGAGAACTACTATTTTAATTTCACATCTTGGCTAAGGAGATGACACTGGGGTACAGAGATAATCTCTTGTTCTAAGCCAGGGATCAGTCAGTGTACTCCTCCCTATCCCTCAATCTCAAGACCCTCTTACTTCCGAACTAAACAACACAATTGGCAAATGAAGCTAGCACGAAACCTGTATCAAAAAACAACAAGAGTCTGCAGTGAGCCAGTGTATTATGTAACCACTGTAATAAGTGATTACGTGGCTTCCCATATGGACCTTTCATATCCTGGTGGGAGACGGGAGACCAGTTTAATAGCTCTGAGCATGCTTCATGGTGCAATCACAAGTGCCGTGCCATTACAAAGACAAGCAAGCAGGTGAATTTCCCCAGTGTACTTTTCAGGAACACGGTTACCCAGTTCGGGGACGGGACTACATTGATGCACCTGCAAAGTACAGTTGGATGCTTCAGAGCACAAGGACAATATCCAGGTCAGCACGGTGTAAGGCATATACGGACACAAAGAGAGGTCATTGTCGGTAATAAGTAGCATTACGGAAAAGATTCCAAACCAGCAGGACAGAAATGGTACCTGATGCTCCAGTTTTTTAGATAAGCAATCCCAAGAATCCAGTTCAAACCCTACTGTCAACATGTGGGGCAGAATTCAATTTCTATCATTGTTTTTACAGATCTGGGCTGAGACATTTGTTCCTAGCTTGGTTAAAAAAATAATAATAAAATAAAGGTTTCTTCCTGTTTCTTTCTTGGTATGGAAATACAGCTTAAAGAAGGAAAGGCCATGAGTCCTGGGAGCACTATGAAGGTAGCTAAACACTTCCCATACCTACAGTCAACGACTGGGAAATAGAGAGAGGACAGGGCAACCTGCCCAGCCACTAGCATCAAAAACGAAAAGGTATATTAATTGTGAGGCTCTCAATTCCAGAAATGTCCAAATTAAAAGAGAAAAAAATCTTGAAAAATTAAACAAATTTCTCTTTCTACAAGTCATTTATTTACATATTATATGTCCGATATATAATGTGTAGATAAATGTATCCTGCAGTGGAAGTGACCACTCTACTGAACTGTACAGCATATTATAGGACAAATTCTTGAAAGATTTCATCTTATACTGGTATCTTTTAATAAAAAAAAATTAAAAATCAAAGAAAACGTCTGGCCAGGGCTAGGATAAGACAAACAGGAACACTTCAGAATCCAAGGCAGGGGAAGGCTGTTGGCCTCTCTTCAGAGGACTGCAGGGGTAGGAAGAGGGAGGGACAGATCATGCACAAAAGTACTTACAAATTACACACCCAACCCCCACCCCACAATAAAAAGAGAAGAAAAAGCCCCATCACTGAACACCAAACAGCAACATTATCAATACACCCTTTCTTTGCTGCCCACCATGCCTTATTTGAAAGAAGAGGCCTGTGAGGAGAAGTGGAAAGAGCCAGGGTGAGAGGGAAGATCTGCATTTCAGTCTAGTTTCCAATTTCCATTTCTCTTACAGGAAGTCTTCAGTCATCTGATGCCTGACATCGAGCTCTGAGCAGAAACCGAGTATGTGGTGGCCACGACTGGGGTGCCATTGTTGGCTGAGTAGCCTTGCCTCAATGTTTCAAAATATGATGCCTGCACGGGTTTGTGATACTGCAACACTTTTACGGCATCTTCTATTTTAAACCATTCCCTCTTCCTTCCTGTGGAGGCAGAGAGAAAAGAAACTAGTACAAGAGCAATAAGGTTTCTGAGCCTAGAACTTTTGAGAAAATGTAGAAAATGTTAAAGCAATGTTTCTTAATACTTTTTTTCCTTACAAAAGTAACTCAAGCGCACTTCGTATGCTTCAAATATTATACAAATGTCTAATGTAGAAAATAGGCGAGAAACCTGAAAACTGAAGAGCTAAGAGTAATTGTGTCAAACCTGCCCTCCAGAGAGAACTATGGCTAGTGTTTTCCTCCTGCCCTCCTGGGTCTCTGAGCTTTCCTTGCTTGCACATACATAGGGATCAAAGCTCAGCAGCATCCCTATCTCTTGTAAAAAACTGACATGAGGGCCTGACGAGGTGGCTCATGCCTATAATCCCAGCACTTTGGGAGGCTAAGGTGGGCGGATCGCTTGAGCCCAGGAGTTTGAGACCAGCCTGAGCAACATGACAAACTTGTCTCTCCAAAAAATACAAAAATTATCTGGGCATGGTGGCACAAGCCTGTAGTTCCAGCTACCCAGGAGGCTGAGGTGGGAGGATCACCCTAGCCCGGGAAGTTGAGGCTGCAGTCAGCTGTGATTGTGCCACTGCACTCCGGCAGGGTGACAGAGTGACACCCTGATCCAAGCAGGGGGAAAAAGAAAATCAACACAAACATCAGCTTCCAGAATTACTAGGATGGCTGGTTTGTAATCACTAATTTATTTAAAAGTTTTCTTATAAGAGTGAATGTATTGACATAATAGAAAAAAATTTTTT